GCCTTAAAATAATATTTAAGCGTTTTTTCCCTTCCAAAAAGATACAGCCCAAGGAGCATCCTAGTTCACTGTAAAACCCCAATCAACCCCCACCCCACAATATTGCTTGCTAAAATGATGTTAAAGTATTTTTGACATATAAACTGAAGACTGGACAACAACACAATTTTCTCCAACACTGCTAAGCTACATGGGCTTGGCTGTCACACATTTCTCTATGAGCAATGTCCAAACTCCAGTTTGACATAGCACTGAACCTATAGGCATGAGAAGAAAGAAAAGTTGCCCACATCCAGAATGCTTGCTGTGGTTCAGTTAGTGCTATCTCTGTATGCTGTATAGATGCATGAATTACTAAGGGAAATTTATTTATAGCTTCCAGTTACTATTGCCTGAAGGTTCACTGATGATAAATTACTGACAGTAAGTTTTACTGCACTTGTGCTGAGTTAAACAGCTCTGAATTCTTCTGAGGGCAAGAAAAACCTGTATTTCCAAATTCAGAAAAAGCTTTTAAGAGAGACTATATTGACTCATCCACTTAAGATTCTATTTATGTATTAGATGACAAAGATGACTGTTTTAACTTCTTGCATTTCTCTCAAAAATGTGATTCCAAGACAACCCGTGTCCAAGACTCTGCATCTTGTATGTTCTACCACACAGGCTTCACAGTGAAACCACAGCTTTTACTGTCACTGACAATACTTTTACTGTCACTGTCAATAATCCTGTCTTAAACTCCTGATTGGGCTGCAAGTAACATTTCCATGCAACACATGGCAAGGAGAAGGAAGAAAGAGCACTGAAGTCTGTAAAATCATCAGTCATCAAGTCTCTTATTTTAATCCATATTTGTGCCCTACAATACTTAGCAAGTTTGCAGTATTTTACACATGCCAACATTGAACGTGCTTTTTAAGCGCCTACCATCTAGCTAAAATACCAGCTGGCAAGGAAGTGCCTAAGAACTCTATCTACCATTACATTTTCCTGCTGCTTATACTTCTACCAACACAAATTTATACGGGACATGAAAAACCAAAGCATATTATCATAAAAGTTGCCTGACACATCACAAAAATGATTTTACCTTTTTGTTCCCACTCTGTGATTTGGGGCAATGTCAATTGTGTCTGTAGCTGAATCGTGCCTAACCGCCAGTCCCAGGTCTGCAATGCAGCACGTTCCATTCTTTTTCACCAATATGTTTTTTGATTTTAAATCTCTGTGGGCAATTGCTGGTTTGCCTGTAAGGGCAAAAAATAGAAGCTGTAAAAAAACCCCAAACCAACCTGCTTTCATTCTAAGCCCGGTGCAAAATCTTGTTTGAAGTTACAGAATTCCTTCCATTTCTGACCTTTATGTGCACCAGGGTACCTCCTGAAATCATTCATTGTAGATTGTCCAGCTGTTCAGGAAAGTGCCTTGTGTTTACTGTATTACACCACTCTTGCTCCTTTCCCTCTTCCAGCAAGTATTTATTGCACACACATCCTCCTCAAACTTTGTATCAATTCCAAGTTAAGAAGATGATACATGCACCATGACTTGGTGCCTTTTAACATCGTTTTTTGTAGGAAGGACTGTTGCATCACACCAGAGAAAGGAAGGCAAAAAGCCTTTCAAATTAAGAAGTCCTATTAACTTGGAAATCATCACAGAGTAGAATGAGCTACTTATGTGTCATTAAAAAAACCAACCACATGAAAAGCAAAGTAATTGAAAGATTACCTTGTGTGCCAACAATTTCCATGTGCAGATGAGCAAGACCGCTGGCAGTGGACAAAGCTAACTTTATCATTCCTTCCACTGTTACTGTATACCTGTTCAGGTAATCAAAGAGTGATCCATGCTCATGATAGTCTGACACTAGCCACAGCTGAGTCCAAGTACCATTGTCTGCAAAATAAAACTGGCATGAGTGCCACATATACACAAACAACAAATGAACAGTATGTTCCACTTTTATACAATACTTACGAAGTACAAATTACAGTCTGCAAGTAACCTCTGTAAATTAGACTTACTATTAGACTCTAAGACTCTTCCTGTAACATTTAAATGCCTCTTTTTAGAAAAAATAAAATAATACACCAAAATTAAAAGGCCTCCAATTACTTCAGAGTAGGAAAAAGACTAATATCAATTCAAACAGTTTCCACAAAGGAAAGAGAACTGTAGCTTGCTACATTTACAGAATAGTCTCAACTAAGCTGTTTAAACATGCAAAGAAAATTAAAAAATC